ACTTAAGCTCTCTTAATATTTACTTAATAATTATATAAAGCGTATTATACTCTTTTTTTACCTCTTATATTTATTTATTTTTATTTCTTTATAAGAGTAAAGTAAGTTAAGTATAAAATAAATCTCTTATAATACCTTTTTCTTATTCTTTATAACTCTTATTTTTACCTTTTTCTTAAAATAATTTTAAATTTTATTACACGTATTTCTTTATAAAATTTATCTATTAAGCTTTTAAATTAATCTCTTTATTCTCGCGTTAATTTAGAAAGAGAAAAATAATAATATAGCTAGTATTATTAGCGCTTTTTTACTCTCTTTTATCTCGCGCTTTAAGCGTTATTTAAGTAACTTTATTATAAAAGGTAACTTTAATAAAAACGAGATTTTTAATAGTAAGAAGCTTATTAACTCTTACACGTAATATTAAAATTAACTTTTAAATACTAGCTATTATAAATATATCTTTAGTTTTAATATAATATATTAACCCTATTATAATACCTACTAATAGTATAATTAAGAGTTATATAATTACGCGGTAAATTTTAAGCTTTACTATTAGTAAAAGAAAGTTAAGCGTATTATTACTTATAATAATTATATTATTATTAAGGCTATTAAGAAGAGTATTAACGTTAAGGCTTTTTAAGCTAAGTTCTTATATAAGTTTTTCTTTATAGCGAAAAAATTCTAGTTTATACTTACTTATACTTACGTTACTTTTAATTTAATTTAAATAATTAACTCCTTTATTAAGTTTAACTAAAACTTATTATTTATAGCCTAATAGGCTATTATTCTTAGTATATCTCTTATATCTATTATTTATTATAAAGGCGCTATTATTTACTAGAATTCTAGCTATTAAGTAATAATTATAGATTTTTACTATAATTAAACTAATATTACTTAAGCTCTTAATTAGCTTATTAATAATTAGCGTATTAACTATAAAAAACGTATTATATAAATAGCTTATTTTAAGAGGGTAATTAAATTTATTAGCTTATCTCTTATTAGCTATAATTAACGTTTTATTCGCGCCTTTAATATTACTTTATTAAGGTTTTCTTTTATTCTCTTTAACCTTATTACTTACTATTAGCTTCTTAAATAGTCTCTTAATAATTCTAATAAGCTTATTTTAATTAAAGATCTTTCTTTTATTAGTTTTATTATACTATTAGCTACTTTTATTTCTCGCTTAATCGCGCTTTTATTTTCTATAACTTAATAGTTAATTACCTTTACTTCTCGCTTAAATATACTCTTATCTCTTATAATTAAGTAATTAATTACGCTTATCTTAAAGCTATAACGTTTCTTTAAGGGGAAAGGGTTTAATATTTTTCTTATAGTATTTATTTATTAAGCTCTTAATTTAATCTCTCTCTTCTTACGTTAAGCTAAAAGAAGAAAATAATAATATAATTAATATTATTAGCGCTCTTTTACCCCCTTTTACCCTACGCTTTAAGCGCTATTTAAGTAACTTTATTATAGAAGGTAACTCTAGTAAAAACGATATTTTTAACGGTAAAAAGCTTATTAACTCTTATACGTAGTATTAAAACTAGCTTTTAAATACTAGTTATTATAAATACACTCTTAGTCTTAATATAGTATACTAAACCTACTATAATACCCGCTAATAGTACGACTAAAAGTTATATATTTACGCGGTAAATTTAAAGCTTTATTATTAATAGAAGAAAGTTAAGTGTATTACTACTTATAATAATTATATTATTATTAAAGCTATTAAAAAGAGTGTTAATATTAAGGCCTCTTAAGCTAAGTTCTCGCGTAAGTTCTTCTTTATAGTAAAAAAATTCCGGTTTATACTTACTTATATTTACGTTAACTTTAATTTAATTTCAATAATTAACTCCCCTATTAAGTCTAATTAAAATTTCCTATTTATAGCCTAATAGACCGTTATTCTTAGTATATTCCTTACGCCTATTATCTATTATAAAAGCGCTATTATTTACTAGAATTCTAGCTATTAAGTAATAGTTATAAATTTTTACTATAATTAAACTAGTATTACTTAGGCTCTTAATTAGCTTATTAATAATTAGCGTTTTGTAACTTTATTATAAAAGGTAACTTTAGTAAGAATAATATTTTTAATAGTAAGAAGCTTATTAACTCTTATACGTAGTATTAAAATTAACTTTTAAATACTAGTTATTATAAATATACTTTTAGTCCTAATATAGCCTATTAACCTTACTATAATACTTATTAATAGTATAACTAGAAGTTATATATTTACGTAGTAAATTCTAAGCTTTACTATTAATAGAAGAAGGTTAAGCGTATTATTACCTATAATAATTATATTACTATTAAGACTATTAAGAAGAGCGTTAACGTTAAGGCTTTTTAGGCTAAGTTTTTACGTAAGTTCTTCTTTATAGTAAAAAAATTCCGGTTTATACTTACTTATACTCACATTAATTTTAATTTAATTTAAACGATTAACTCCCCTATTAAGTTTAATTAAAACTTATTATTTACGGTCTAATAAGCTATTATTCTTAGTATATCCCTTACGCTTATTATCTATTATAAAGGCGCTATTATTTACTAGAATCTCAGCTATTAAGTAATAGTCGTGGATTTTTACTATAATTAAGCTAGTATTACTTAAGCCTTTAATTAGCTTATTAATAATTAGTATATTAATTATAAAGAACGTGCTACGTAAATAGTATATCTTAAAAGGGTAATTAAATTTATTAGCTTATCTTTTATTAGCTATAATTAGCGTTTTATTTACGCCTTTAATATTACTTTATTAGAATTTCCTTTTATTCTCTTTAATCTTATTACTTATTATTATATACTCTTTTACTTACTTAAGCTCTATTAGTATTTAACTAATAATTATATAAAGTATATTATACTCTCTTTTTACTCTTATATTTATTTGTTTTTATTTCTTTATAAAGCTAAAATAATTTAAGTATAAAATAAATCTCTTATAATATTTTCTTCTTATTCTTTATAACTCTTATTCTTACCTCTTTTTTAGAATAATTTAAAACCTTATTACACGCGTTTTCTAATAATATTTATTTATTAAGCTCTTAAATTAATCCCTTTATTCTCGTATTAATTTAAAAAGAAGAAAATAATAATATAGCTAATATTATTAGCGCTTTTTTACTCTCTTTTACCTTACACTTTAAGCGTTATTTAAGTAACTTTATTATAAAAGATAACTTTAATAAGAATAATATCTTTAATAATAAAAAGCTTATTAACTCTAATACGTAGTATTAAAATTAGTTTTTAAATATTAACTATTATAAATACGTTTTTAATTCTAGTATAATATATTAATCTTATTATAATACTTGTTAATAGTATAATTAAAAGTTATATATTTACGTAGCGAATTTTAAGCTTTACTATTAATAAAAGAAAGTTAAGTGTATTATTACTTATTATTAGCTTAAGCTTATAATATACCCCCTTACTTATTTAGGCCCTTTTAGTATCTAGCTAATAGCTGTATAAAGCGCGTTATACTCTCTCTTTACTCTTATATTTATTTGTTTTTATTTCTTTATAAGAGTAAGATAAGTTAAGTATAAAATAAATCTCTTATAATATCTTCTTCTTATTCTTTATAACTCTTATTCTTATCTCTTTCTTAAAATAATTTTAAATCTTATTACACGCATTTTCTTATAGTATTTATTTATTAAGCTTTTAAACTAGTCTTTTTATTCTCGCGTTAAGCTAAAAGAAGAAAATAATAATATAATTAATACTATTAGCGCTCTTTTACCCCCTTTTACCCTACGCTTAGTAAAAAAATTTCGGTTTATACTTACCTATACCTACGTTAATTTTAATTTAATTTAAACGATTAACTCCCCTATTAAGTTTAATTAAAACTTACTATTTATAACCTAATAGGCTATTATTCTTAGTATATTTCTTACACCTATTATTTATTATAAGAGCGCTACTATTTACTAGAATTCTAGTTATTAAGTAATAATCGTAGATTTTTACCGTAATTAAGCTAGTATTACTTAGGCTCTTAATTAGCTTATTAATAATTAGCGTTAAAGTTACCTATAAAGAGGGATTAAATTAGGTATTACGTATAAGAAGTTACCTGTAAAGAGAGACTAAATTAAGTTCGCTTATATCCTAAAATAGAGTATAAATCTCTACTAATTTTAGTTTAAGTTCTATAAGTATTATCTCGTAAGAAGTAAGTATAAATTAAGGCTAAAATTTTTTAAATTTATTATATTTAATATATTTTACTTATAATAATAATATAAAATAACCCTTTCGTAACAGACCTGTATTAGGTGCTAGGCTGTAATAAGCGCTGTATTAAATTCAAAACCACCTGTAATTCGGGTTATAGGGTCCCTAACCCACTATAAATACAGGGGTTTTTTGGTGCTAGGCTTATTGGAAGCCCGCTGTGTGGCCCCTTGTTATCTAGATTTCGGTTGACAAATGTACTAGAATAGCTTTAAAAAGCTCTAGCGTACTTAATAATAATAATATAAGTAATACTTTACATGCCACATAATAGGATAATATAATATATACAGTTGTAACACGTAAGTCCTGTCCTAGTGCCTGAGGCATCTATGCGCACAATTATATGGGGATTTGGTGACTCAACCTGACGTTTGGACTTCGTCGGTCCTTGTTCTCTCAAATGCTTCTCCTAACTCTCCAGTTTCGTCCCTTTCCTTTTCTCAGAGTTGCTTCGGTATCCATGGCCTTTGCGAGAAGTAGCCATCACATTTGCAACAGAATGGCGGACTCGTCTTCTTTTGCTGACCCACTGCAGGGGCCACTGTCCACTATTTACCCCGCTGCGTTTCCATACTTGAATCCCTTGGATAGATTCCGCATTGCGATTGCTGAAGAGCTCTCCATCATCACCGGCGCGGATAGAAATTTGATTTTCGATAGCCTCGACCGGTCCACGTCGCTCAACAAAGGCGACTTACTTCTCGCCGTGCCTCGCCTTCGTGTCAAGAACAGCCTACCAATCGAACTAACCCATGAAGTGGTAGCAAAGGTGTGGGCCATTCTTCATCATCACCCTAACTTTGCCTAACACTAACTCACGCACTTGCTATACTAGTTCAAACCAAGCCAGGGTGCCCTAGTCGAAGCCCCAACGGCCGAAGGCGTCTCTCCTCAGTTTCATGTTCAATCCCAAGGAGCTTCCTTCAGCTCTGCTGCCCACCATTCTTCAACTACGAGACGATTACGGCTTTAACACCAAACATGGTTTGCGAGACCCTGCAGACGCTGAGGCCGGGAAGAAGACAGTTATCATTGAATTTTCCAGCCCCAATATTGCTAAGAAGTTCCACGCGGGCCATCTCCGAAGCACCATCATCGGAGGTTTCCTGTCGAACCTGTACGAGAAATCTGGATACATTGTGGTTCGCACGAACTACCTGGGCGACTGGGGTCGGCAATACGGGCTCTTGGCTTGCGGCTGGAAGCGGTACGGAGATGAAGTCGCGTTTGCACAAGACCCCATCGGCCATTTGTTCGACATTTACGTCAAGATCAGCGCCGATTTCGAGCCCGAGGAAGAGGCCTTCAAAGCTGCTGGCAAGCGGGGGGAAGATACTTCCTTGTTAGAATCGAGAGGCATTCTCGGCGAGGCAAAGGCGTACTTCAAACAAATGGAGGACGGCGACGAGTTGGCCTTGGAATTGTGGCGTCGCTTTCGGGAGCTGAGCATCAAGCGTTATCAGGAAACGTACGCGCGGCTCAATATTCACTTTGACGTTTACTCAGGCGAGTCTCAAGTCAAGAAGGAGACAATGGAGAAGGCTGAAGATATTCTCAAGCACCGGCACGTCATCGAACTAACGGAAGGCGCATGGGCTGTCGACTTCAAAAAATACGGCACCAAGGGGCTCGACGTGGCAATCATTCGTAACCGCCAATGGCACGTCCAACTACCTTCTGCGGGACATAGGCGCGGCTCTGCAGAGAGACGAGGAGTATAGGTTTAGTGAGATGCTCTATGTAGTCATGTCTGAGCAGGGGACCCACTTGAATCGTCTTTTCAAGATTCTGAGTCTCATGGGTGATCCGTATAACACACTTGCGAAGAAGATGAAGCACGTTTCTTACGGCAAGGTTCATGCTTCCACCCTTTCGATTTTTTTCTCCAGCCTCTTTCCTCTTTCCCCTTGCCCTTCCCTTCCCCTTCTCCTAGTAGCTGTCTTCCTATGCCCCGCCCTCCTCTCATTTTCGGCGCATCCATTACTATCCGTTACTATAAAGCCGGTTGGTTCTAACACATCCAAATGATTCAGGTTAATGGCATGTCTACCCGGAAAGGAACTGTCAAGTTTCTCGACGACATTCTCGCAGATGTCGGCGATTTTATGCATGATATCATGCGCCGGAACGAGCAAAAGTACTCCCTGGTTGACAACCCTACCCGAACAGCCGAGATCCTGGGCATATCTGCTATTATGGTCCAAGACATGTCCGGGAAGCGAATCAACAACTACGACTTTGATCTAGATCGAATGACCTCCTTCGAGGGAGATACCGGACCGTACCTCCAGTACGCACACGCAAGATTGTGCTCCATCTTCCGAAAGGTCGACTTCACGGTCGACGAAATGCTGAAATCCGATTTCTCTCTCCTCTCTCAGTCACCTCACGCCATTGGCCTACTTCGAGTCATGGCGCAATTCCCAGACTTAGTGAATCACGCGCTGAAAACTCTGGAGCCAACGACCATTCTAACGTACCTGTTCAAGCTCACTCATAAGCTGAGCTCAAGTTATGACCACTTGAGAGTCGTGGAACCCACAGAAGGGCCTGCAATGTCGCTTGCCCGGGCATCATTGTACTATGGTGCCCGCCAGGTCCTCCGCAACGGAATGGTTCTCCTAGGGATTACGCCGATTGATAGGTGAGACAAAATAATGTTTTTTCTCAGCATGACGAGGTTTTTAACACTTCTCAGGATGTAATCACCCGGGCCGAGATGGTAATCAGCCAAAACGAACAGAGCGAATCAAAAGCAGACCCACATGGCGACTACAGATTTGATCACGAGGGGCTGATGAGTACTACAGAGTTACAAGGCCTGCGAGGAGCATTTTGGATTGGTTTAGGGAGATAAGTTGGCAAAATTTATTGAGCCCTGTGGGCACGACACGTAATTCTGGGTGCGTGATCAATACGGCGCTTGACAGTTAAATGGCCGAGGTATGTAAGCGGCATTCTAAGTTAGGCTGGAGTGAGGGAATAATAGATGATGTATAGAGAGAGCTTCTGATTTCAAAGAGATCCTAATAGTTATCTGGCTATCTACTTGAGTCGTAAAGTTGATGCAAACTCAGCCAGGTCGAGCAGCGGCACATACCGCTCTGAAACATTAACAAAACACCATACAGCCATTCAATTTGCTTGCCGGTTCTGCCTTTGTCCCTCCTCTTCCATTACCTAGCGGCGGGCGGCGGAGATCCCTGATCTTCACTCCCAAGCTCACGCGTTTTAGGTCGAGTGCTTATGCACTAGTAACATTAGCAGTGTTCCACATATCGCGAAATGAAATACCTGAGAAAATAAAATGAAGAAAAAGGATATGTCTTGCTGGTAAGATGAGCAAGAGCAACCCGAAGCCTTACACGAGCCGTAGTAATATCCGGCCATATTTTGAAGTGGACAGTCTTGAGATGTGTCTGATGGTTTGCTTTTTAAAGTAGGAGTACAAGTGGTCTACAGAATTTTTTAAAGAGGTGAAAGGGTAGATGTACTTTGCCCCTTTCTATTCAGGCCATCCAGCATGCTTTTTATATTGTTTAAAAACATTTTCCGTGCGGCCACGGTTCGTCAAGCGCTTGCGGTTCCCTCCCAGACAGAAGTGCTAACCCGCCGAATGTGAAATCTTATGATTCGGCTGATGCAAGTGATTGCTCAACTGTACACGAGCAACCGATGTACCGGGTTGCCGCCCGGAGCGTGCAATTATCACGTTACGATTCAACGTCAACTACGAAGGTGATGTTCTGGGGTGCCGTGGCTTGCGCACTCGGGGTGGTGGCCTGCTGTCGTGGCATGAATAAGGGTATCTGACTGCATTAGTGATCTCGCCTGGTGACATGCCATAGGAAATGTTATTGGGCAAGCCAGATGTCGTGGAACACTCCAGCAGATGCGCTTCGATAATCGGAATCTGCTGTTGATTTTGAAATAATGAATGACTGGAGACCTCGCCTGTTATCCCGGAAAGGTAGTTCGAGTGCGGCAAGCACCTTCTATTGGCTTGGCTGGGAAGCTGAGAGAGCCGGAGCTAAGCCGCGATGGATACGAAGGCACCTCCCACGATATCATATCAAGCCTCTGGGTGGTTACATTCAACACTTAAGCACCGCGATGGTAGTCCGAAATCCTCCCACACTCCCCAACCGGTGCTGGCATGTCAACATAGATGGATTTTTGGGATTGGCTTGGCGGTGTTGCAGCGTTGGACAGTCTTGTCTACTAGATGGCCGAAGATCATGAGAACTAGGCGTTTAAGTTTTTCCGGACGGTACCTTCCCTATTCATTTAAACTTAAGTAATTGAGACTTGTACGGTATTGGTATTTAATACAGGTATGTGAAATGAATGTCGCTAGCTGAGAGGGGTTACTCGCGGTCAAATGCCTTGTGTAACTCCATGACCTTTGCAGAAAGAGATCGGAAATAGAGAAGCTGTGACGTGCAAAATTTGACACCAAATTCACCTAGGCTCCTAAGATTTCCGGACCTGGATGGATGGATCGGCCGAATCCTAGCCAGCTTTCAGCCAATCATAACCGTTCCTCGCACTCGGTAACCTTTTCTAAACGGGAATGTAATGTGGACGCTAAATTAATACGGACGCCAACGTCTTAGGGACGCTGCACTTTTACTATCTCTCTTAGCTAAAGTCCCATGTTTGCTAGTGCAGTCGTACCACGATTCTGCCACAGCCAAAACTGCTTTGCAGAGACCTGTTTTAGGCTAGCTGCTGCTGGACTTGTCCCTCGTGTTTTCCATCTCTAGCTTAAACACTAAGCAGCTGGCAATATGTCGTCGCCTAACATAAATACAGCTAATATAAGCCGCCGTAGAGGTGTAGTTCAGTCGACTAGTCGTTACTGTTAGAGCTCTAAAGGTATTGTATTTTTTGTATTTTTTACTATACTGTATTGTATTGCATTATATTATATTATAATATATTATAATATATTATAAGATAAAAATACCTATATTGCAATCAAAAGGCTATAAAATATCTAATATTATAAATAAATACTTCTATAAGTATATTATAAATTAAAATAAAGCTTAAGATAACGTGATTTTAAATCTTTAAAAATTGATT